GAAAGATAAAGTGGTTCATTTTAATATTTGCTTTCATGAAACCACGCTGTCATGATTGCTGTATGTCCAGCTTGGTTGATAACCTCCAGCAGCGTGCTTACTCTCTTGTTAAGAATATTCTTGTTGCTGAGGAACAGAGGCAGCTGGATACAATTTGTTCTCAGAGATAAGAAAGTTGATCATTTTCATTGAAGAAAAAGTAAAGGCTATGTTTGCCCCAAGTAAAAGCAATGTGATTTCAGGATACAACAACTAAATCCTGCTTTAAAAACACTTGAAGCAGCATGAAGCTCACCATACAGATCACTGCTCAAACCTTTGCTGTAGGCAGGGATTGTCTCTGTCTGCCATTTTAATACATATTTACATGCTAAAACACAATAATTAGAATTCATTAGTGTAATCTGAGGTCTACATCTAGTTTGGGAGTTGTTTGATTAGTAGCTTTGGGACATTGTTTTTGTACTGAGTCTGCCTCTCTCCTACTTTTGTTTCTCCTTATTTGGCATGGCTTTCTGTAATATGGCTGTGCTTGAAGACTAATCTCTGCTATCTCAGCTCTAATTAACAGAGCACACACAGTTGCCACATTTGTTGTTTTTGTGATTTTTTTTCTGCTAAGATCTCTGTGTTGTTTTTGTGCTAAGCACCTGAACTTGTCTACCTGCTGACGATGATTCAAATCATACACCAAAAGGACACTTTCACCTCTCCCCTCGTCATGGCTTCATATGTCAGGATGTAACCTGAAAACTGGGCCTTCTTTGAAACTAAGAGCCGCACTAAATAAACAATTGGTTTTCTTATTGGACGTGTAGGTGCAAAAACACGTGCCTTCATGAGGAAGTTCACAGCACGGTGCAGCTGCTGTGTGTCGTGTTTGAGGTTTACCTACTTCAGAGGAAGTGTTGTGGGGGAGAAGACAGTGTTACAACCTATGGTTACAACCAGCAAAAAAAACAGGATATCCGATGGAACAAAATGAAACACTTAGATATGAAAAACGAGGTCGTTTTCTCCGACTCTTCTTAATTGACCGTTTGTAATGCAATGTTAAATACCCTAAAGTTAGATCCAACATCAAGCGTATATCCAGAGTGGATTATCTGTTGTGGTGGACCCTGTGAGCACATTTCAGTTTGTATGTTTTGGTAGAGTGAGGATCAAATTGAGAGCCCATCATATCAATGATATGCGTAGCTACTCTGCTAACTGCCGCACTTCAAAGAGCCCTTGATTTCCTCTAGCCGAGCATGTTAATTGGCGCTTGATTGATAACTCGAGTTCACAGGCGATGTCATGTGTCGTCTAAACTGTTCCAGGGTGTCTTTGTGAAATCAGCGGAAGAAGAATCACTGGCGGGCCAATTAAAAAAATATGCCAGTGTACACATTTGCGAATAAGCTGTCACACATTACAAATTAGATTACCTTTTTGCAGTGTGCCCTGGAACTTGGTAAGCACGGGTAAGACACTAAAATAGCTCAAATCGTTTTGTTTTTTTTATCAGCGTGCTCGATCTGCAAGCGCTGTTTATGCTTTCCTCATGCACAGTAAAAAAAGAAATTCACAGCTTGGAGCAAAATGTAATCAGTTGCAGTAAAGGAAGAATTAGCAGGTTAAAGAGAGAAACAAGCTCAGAGTGCTTGCTTTATATATATTTATATATATATAGTTTATTTTACATGTGGCATCTAAAAAGAATGACAGTTTTCAATTCTCATAAATGTTTTCATTAAAACCATTCATAGAAACTGGTCATAAATGATATCGTTCATCCCAGAGATAGAAGCAACACTATCTGGTTTTATTTGCATGTACACATACATGACACACACAATGCCAGTGTTATGAATGGCAACACTGTGATACAGAAATGTCAATCAGGGGTGAGAAAGCTGTTTTTGTATTTGCATACAATCACAAGCTCTCATTCTAATTGTCTAGTTTGCATGGCACAGATCACTGAGGCCAGGTGAAGCCCTATGAAGGTGGCTCTGTTGGACATCTGGCAGCGTCTTGCATGCATCGAGCATCAGAAGCTTTGACAAAACAGAGGCAACTCAATTCAAGTTATGACAGAGCGCCATCATTATAAACTGGAACAAGTTCAGGGGTTGTTTGAAAAAATATGTATCAGGGGAACAGAAAGAAATTGTGAAATGCCTTTAGTTACAAAATATTGATTAAAGATGCTTTCACAGCTTTTTGCCAGCAGAGACCCTGACATGCCATAGCAGGAGAAGCACAGGTGGAAGGACATTTTAAGAATGCAGTGCTATGAGTACAAATAAGAGAAAGTAAGTATGCAGACAACCAAATGCTTTGCTTTTTTGATGTGGATGGAAACCATTGTTCCATAAAGAAATGAAATGCTAATGGCAATTAAGGATCTACTCACAACTGGAAAAAAAGACATTTCAAGTCACGTTACAACATGTGGTACAAAAGTCAATGTTGGGTTGATGGTCGGAGAGGTATTAATTTATTTGTAATATTTATTAGTAATATTTTTAATATATATTAGGTTATAATTATTATTTCCATCCATCTTCTCCTGCTTATCCGTGGTCGGGTCGCGGGGGTAGCAGTTCCAGCAGAGAGCCCCAAACTTTATTTTCCCTGGCCACATCAACCAGCGCTCCCAGGCCAGCAAAGAGATATAGTCCCTCCACCTGGTCCTAGGTCTACCACCTCCCTAGGGAGGCGCCCAGGTGGCATCCTTACTAGGTGCCCGAACCACCTCAACTGGCTCCTTTCGACGCGAAGGAGGAGCGGTTCAACTCAGAGTTCCTCCCGGATGCAACGGAGATGGCTGGAAACTATCCAATCAAACTATATCCCTAAGGAGAGACGCCAGCCACCATGACGGGAACGAAAACCACACTCCTCGAAAACCGCTAATGATATATGTGATCTCGTATCTCTATAGGTCAAAGTGACCCCGATACCTCATGAACATAGGTAGAGAGTAGGAACGAAAAACGCCCGGTATACAGAGAGCTTTGACCTTCATGGCTCAGCTCATTTTCGTCAAACCAACGAAGCGGTAAAGCGACTGCGGAGCCAGCGCGGCGCTGATGCTCCGAATCTCCGCTCATCTCGACGCTCCAATTGGTATCCATGTCATCACTCAAGAGAACAGACCCGAGATACCTTGCAGACTCCATTACACTTTGAGGTAGGACTCAATTCCTCACATTCGCTCGACCAGTCCATCGGATGTTCACTGCTTTGGAGATCCAAATGAGCCAATAAGAAACTTTAGCGTGATCAGATGCCTCAACCAAGACACGCTTCAAACAACATCGGACGAAACCGGATCACGTGAAGTGCTGAAAGTCGAGACCATGAAGCACATAGAACAAATCATCTGACAAAAAAGCAGTGGTAATGCAATCACTATAAGTACCACACAGATATGCAGACCCTCTCCACGCAACGGACTACGCCGTCGAATCCGATCCATGTATGTAAACCAACAGGTAAATTGTGCACCAAAAACGCAGCCCTGGCTTGAGCCAACCCTCAGCTCGGAAATGGTCCGTTTTACTGAAGAGATTGGATGGCCTGGAGTAGAGACCCCGTCACCATACTCCGCATCGCACTCCCCAATCTAACTCCCTGGGAACTCGGTATAGCTTCTCCAGTCTACAATACAAGTTAGACGGCATAACGCGTAC